AGGCCAGCGAGTGCCTTCAGTACCCTCGGATGGAGCCCATCCGGGCCTGCTGACTTAAAGGCATCCAGTTCCTCCAAGTGACTCCGCACCATCTCAGAGTCTACGCATGGTAGTCTGGCGCCTTGCTGCTGCCTCTCCACAATCCCAGTGTGAGCCTTGTCCTGCCCCTCGCTTAGGAACACTGAGGCAAAGAACTCGTTGAGGAGTTGAGCCTTGTCACTCCTGTCCATCACCAATTGCTTCTGCCCATTTAGTAGGGGTCCTATTCCACCCTGGGCCTTCCTTTTACTCCCTATATATCTAAAAAACAATTTTTTGTCATCCTTTATTTGGAATGCCATCCTCAGCTCCATGGTAGCTTCGGCCTGTCTAACTGCCTCCCTACAAGTGCGAGCAGAGGAGGTATACTTCTCTTTGGTAATCTCTCCCTGTTTCCACTTTTTATATGCTCCCCTTTTAGCCCGTAGGCTGCCCTGGACTTCTCTGGTCAGCCAAGGAAGCCTCCTGGCCCCTTTCCCTCTTTTTCCTCGCAACAGGATGAATGTGAATGTGATGAATGTGAGGAGAAGGTCAACGTTCTATTCCTGGCACTTTTCTAGAAGCTGCCGGACTGTAAACACTGTGTCAGTCATTCCACGTCCTTTTCTGAAGCTGGATTGACTCTCAGGCAGTAGGTCATTTAGATGGTTGGTCAGCTGGTTGAGGAGGACTCTTGCAAGTATGTTTCCAGCAGTTGAGAGGAGGAAAATGCCCCTGTGGTTGTCTCAGAGTTAGCGATTTCCCTTCCTCTTGTACAGAACGACGATGGAGGTATCCTTGAATTCTTGGGGGACTACGTCCTGTGACCATATGCTGCAGAAGATCTCAGTTAGTTTCTCTGTAAGGCTGTGACCCCCTGATTTGTAGACCTCTGCTGAAATCGTGTTGGCTCCAGGAGCTTTGCCACTAGACATTTGCTGTATGGCCTTTTGGACTTCCATAATTGTAGGTGGAGCTTCAAGTGAGGTGTTGACGGCGATTTGAGGCAGCCTATTATCACATCCATGTTGATGGAGGAGGTCCGATTGAGGACGGCGCTGAAGTGTTCAACCCGTCTCTGGAGGATCTGGACCTTGTCAGTTAACAGCATGGTCCTATCAGCAGAGGGGAGGATCCGAGGACCCAGACTGTAGCCAGCCTTTATGGCATCACAGAACTTCTGTGCATTGTTTCAGTCAGCATAGTACTGGATCTCGTCTGCTTTGTTCCTCAACCATGTGTCCTGCATCCCTCACAGCTTGTGTTGAATGGTCTTCTGTATCGAGTTGTAGGCATGTTGTGCTGACGTGGACTTATCACAGAGGTAGCATCTGTGGAGATGTTGTTTCTCTTCCAGCAGCCATTGTATCTCTTCATCGTTTTCATCAAACCAGTCTTGGGTGTCTGCAGATGCTTGGTCCCAGGGTCTCAAGGGCTGCGGAGTGTATAGCTTCATGGAGCCACTTCCAGTTGGCTTAAATGGAGTCAGAATGGACCCGTATAGTGTGAAACTGATCTTTCAGATGGTTTGCAAAAGACAGCCTAGTGCTGTCATTTATCAGCCCTGCAGTGTTGAGGCACTTTGGTCCACTTTTTCCTTTCAGATACTGTCTGGTTGAATCATGAACTTTAATGAGGAGGTGATGAGTCAATGATCAGTCCAGCATTCAGCACCACACATTTCTTTGGTTAGAAGGACATCACGTCTGTTCCTCCTTCAGAAGATGACATAGTCATTAAGATGCCAGTGCTTGAAGTGAGGGTGCATCCACGATGTCATTTTCTGGTTGGGGAGATGGAACACAACGTTAGTAACCAAAAGCTCATGTTCTGCACATAGTCTGAGCAGCAGAAGACCATAGCTATTGCAGCTTCCACTCCCATGCTTCCCGATGACGCCATCCCATGCTTGGTAGTCAGAGCCAATCTTGGCATTGAAGTCGCCAAGGAGGATGAGGCCGTCAAACTCTGGTACAGCAGCGATCATGCAGTGGAGGTCATTGTAGAACTGGTTCTTGACTTTGTCGGAGTTGTTTGTGGTAGGGGCATACACGCTGATGATGGAGTGCATTTTTTGCCAAGCAGGGGAAGCTTGAGCACCATCAGTCAGTCATTCACTCCCTTTGCCAAGTAGGTCAGCTTCTTGACGAGGCAGTTTTGTATAGCAAAACTGACACCTGCTTCCTGTTTGGCTTTGTTGCCACAACCACTCCAGAAGAATGTGTAACTAACTTTTCCTTCTGTAAGCTGCCCTTCATCAAGTAGACAAGTCTAGCTGAGAGCAGCGATCTGGACGTTATATCTGCCCAGTTCTCTCCTGATGAGGACAGTTCTCCTTTCAGGTCTGTTGGTGTTTCTGTCAGTCAATGTACGTACGTTCCACGCACCCAGATTGAGGGAGATTGATTTCTTTCCTTTTCCTTTGCGACCGCCATAGTGGGACCCCTGCCAGGCATGGTATGCTGGCCAGGGTGAAATGAAGCAGGCAATGTTTGGGGCACTTTTTCTAGCCCGTTCCTCACTCTAGGAGGTGAGCAGTGCAGTCCTGAATAGTAGGCCTGTGTGAAGCAGCTAGTGATTGCTTTGGATTTGGATTCGGCCAATTCAGGGGACAATGATTCGATTCGGTGATTAGAATCACTGTCCCGAATCGATTCGGCCAAATTTGATTCAGAGATTTGGCCATTGCCAAATCAACTGAATTGCTGAATTGACCAGGCCCCATCCCGTCCCCTCTCCCAGTCCCATCAATGGCTGCCCCGCCCAGCTCCAGCATCCCTGCATATAAAAAAAAAAGAAAAGCCCCACACTCACCAGCTCCTGCCAGGTGGGGGAGCAATCCCCGCTGCCCCCCCACAGCCCCACACTGCATGGTGGGGCTGCTATAAGGCCCCAGAGGCTCTGATGGTCACTACAGCAGCCAGTGAGTGCAGGTCTTTTAAAAAAAAAAAAAAAGTGCCAGGATGCTGGGGCCAGGTGGGGCAGACATTGGGAGAATGGGCGGTGGTCAGGGGGTGCTGAGGGAGGGCTGAGGGCGCAGGTAGGGGATTGGGCCTAGTGGAGATCCCCCATAGTCCCCTCCCCCCTCCTCCAGCACCCCTCCTTACTTACTGACATGGAGCCCAGGTCCAGCTCCCTCTAGTGGCAAGCAGGGACTGCCCAAATCTCCAAAACTTCTTCGAATCTTTTCCAAATCGATTCGGAGGCTTCAAATTGATTCGGACCTTTTAATTAGTCTCCCAATTTGATTTGGAGATTCGGCCGCTGACTCGGGCCAAATCTCCTCCAAATCAAATCAGCAAGTGAAGCTCCACAGCCCTGCTGAATAGGGCTGCTCAGTCACTCAGGCAGCTGCCGAGTTCTACTGCTGCTTCTCAGTAGAAAGTGATCCAAAGCCCTGAGCCGCCTGTGTGCTGGTTTGCAGCTACAGCTTCCAATGTGTCCACATGTGCTGCTTCATTGCTGGCCCATCTCCACAAGACTTGTTGCTGGATATGAATTGCAAGAGATTTGGATTTAAGTGAGGAAGAGATGTGCGGGGTCAGCCTCACTCTCTCATCCGAGCCAATTGGTAACCAGTTGCAGGACAGTGTCAAGACAGCTGGAGACTGGCCCATATGCAGCAGATGACCAGGACACCTTCTGCGCCTTGTCCTGCTCTACACAATCCACAGCTTATCACTGTGGAGACCTTCATGGCCATTGGACCATACAAGGGTCTCATCTGCCTAGTCAGCCCGAGTGAGACTTTGCTTGCAGGAGCAAGCATGCCCCTATCTCCCCAGAGGTCAAAAAGCTGACTGGGTACCCTCACCTGGTTTAGCCCACCCATCAAGGCAGTTTACCAGGGTGTGGCCGCTATCACATGCAGATTACTTGGAGCCACAAGTGAGAGTTGAATGCTGGTGAGGACCAACAGAGAGTCACTCAGACAAGCATGATGTACACTTTCTCTGGAGGTACTACCTCTTCCAGACACCCCATAAAACATCATAAGTCCTATAGAACTCGCAGGGTAATGTATACAGCTGAGGATCTACCTCAATGACTAATACATAGAGTTTCAGTAGGAATGGGCAATCCATTTTGTATTCACTCGACACAGGGGAGAGATCCTAATGCACCTCTCTCATCTTCCCCCCTGCTCCATGTCCATCCTCATATAATCACGGTGTCAGTTTTTCCATTCTGTCCTACACTTCTAGGATGCCATCCCAATATTTTTGAAAGCCAACACCCTTGTGAACACCCTGCTGCTGCAATCCCTGTGGAGAGGAATGTCTGGCTATTTATTGAATGGCAATAATTACCTTTAAGTATAATTTCAATATTGTATGTCTTAAGTGCATCCTCCATAATCACTCATCTCCTTGGATTGTAAATTCTTAGCAACTGGGCTTGCATCCTATACAGGTGTGATTTTTTTTTTTTTTTTTTATAGGACCTTTACACACTATACTAAACTTGAAAACATTCTTTCCAATTTGAAGCCAGTACTCATCAATTGTAAATTAATTTACCCCCACTGTTCAAGGTTTCTGTTTAAATTAAAAAATTGTTCACTCCCAGTTAAATGTTTGGTCTCTTCCATTTACCTGTCTTGAAGTGGTCTATTCATTCAGTTTACTAAAGTTGGAGTAAAACAATAGAAAGACTTCTCACACTCAAATGGTCATACAACCTTCCTAGATGTTGTATCACTTTACTTTGCCTTCTTTTTCACCAACTTCTTTGTGGATTTGTGGTATGGAGACAGTACTTCCTGATGACAGGTTTCAAGGTTTAAGCCGCAGGAGCTATATACTATTCAGAGCTGAAGAACTTCTTGGAAATTTATTTTGACAGGTAACAAGTCTAACTGCAGTAGTTAAAATGTCAACATACTCTGTTTAATGTGTGGAAAGAGCAGAATTAAGAATCAGATTAAGTAATCACAGCTGCATACAAACTTGTTATACACATAAAAGAGAATGACAAAACACTTGTTTTAAGCCTTTATTATGGAAGTTTGCTATTACAAGTAGCACTGACAAAAAACAATCACAGAACCAGGCATTCCCCAGAAAAGACAAATAGACTTTTAAACAGATAAATTTAATCCCTGAGCAGATATAATGCACTGTGTAAACTCATGCAGTTGTCCCCAAGGGAGCCTCCTACACCATCACACAGCAGAGACTGAACCATTTCTAATGCCTAGAGAATTGCTACAAGGAGCTACAGAATGCCAACAGCCATTTTAACTACAGTCTCTTTTGTTAATTCATTGAAAACTATTAAAGGCACTTTAAGAACCAACTCTGAGGCTGCAAAAAAAATAAATTTAGACTAGGGTCTGAGCTTAAATGTGCAACTATTCTTCACTTGTACATGCAACTAATTATCCTGTATACAAAAAAGCAAGTTAGGTACACAGCCAGCCATTGGTATGAGCTATTTGTGGACACACAATTCTCAATACCAAAACATGCACACTGTTGAAAATGATACTGGACACTAAAAGGGTACACAATGGAAAAAGCCGATGTACTGAAAATGGTTCTGGAGAGATTTGCATAGCATCTTGCTTACTGGAATGCATAACTGCAGTGGCAGTTTTCTACTCTAGGAAGAAAGACTTCCAAAGGGGATTCTCTGCTGTGGCCAAGCTCAGAAGGTACAACTCATTTGTCACAAGCCTCTGGGATTCCAAAAAATCTAGTTTGCAGTAGTAACAGACCATTTTAAGTTGACAGCAAAGGTGCTTGGGCATTGGTCTTGTTAACAAAGTACAGAAACTTAGTTGGGCAGAAGACCTCTAAGGCTTCTTGCATATTGAAAACAGTTAAGAGATTTAGTGTAAGCTATTTACTGATGAAAGAAAGGCGGCTACTTTGGCAGAATTTATTAAACTGGGAAACAAAATGTGTCAACTGTTAAAAATGCCTGAGTTTGACAACTTAAAATTCAATTTGTTACTCAGCTGATCAGTGTAGCTGCTTGACAACGGGCTCATCATCTCACAGTAATCAAATACTTTGTCAAAGAAATAAATTGTAATTTATGTCTTATTTAGGAAGATATTTATACAGAAAACATGATTTCTCTCTATTTTCTTTTAAGCTTAAAGCACTGCACATATCTTCCCTAGAAAGTTTTGCTAATTCATAGCTAGCAAGTCATTGTATAAGACAGACACTACACTCAGTGTAATTTAAATAGCATTTGAAACATTCCAACAGGAATCAAATTGCACAGGCAGCAGCAATCTGCTTCTAACAATTCTGTACACACCAGCTTTGTCTGTGCCTTCATAGTGCACAGCTGTACAATTTTAGGCCTCCATACAGCATATATGAAGTTCTTTGGAATGGAGACATGAGAAACACACTACATTTTAGTCTCTACACTGTAATGGTTTAAGGCTTCTTGCAGCTTTCCAAATCTTGCCAATCACTTCAAGACTGAGGAAGTCCCACTGATCTTCATTTTACTTTTTTGGAGCTGGGGTCTGGTCCCATAAGGTAAGTGGGAGAGTAATTTCCTGGAGTTGGACTGGCTAGTAGAGCAATTAATTTGGCAAAGCAGGAGGTCCTTCTGGAAGAAGAGATGCAAAGAAAGTCTTAAAGAACAGCCAGACTGTGCTCATAAGTGAGGGGGTGCCCTGCTGACCTTCTGGTAAAGTGCTTCCTTCATCAAAAACCTCTGCTTCAGGTGATCCATCAGCATTTTCCTCCTGCTAATAAAAAGCACACTGTGTAAACAGGGTCTCTATAGTTAAGAAATAATTCTAGATGGAAACCTCATTCTCCCTTTAAAATGGAAATCAAGTGATTCTTCCAACCTCAAAATGAAAAGGAACTATTTAAGCAGCAATAATAAATGTTAAAGAATTTTGCACTTTTTGTTAATTATCCAGCTACAGAATTCCACCTTTTGGAAGACCACCAAGTTGTAAGCATAAGCCACCTATATTCACTGGGTCCAATTTTATGTTCCCCCTGTCCAAGCAAGACTTAAGTAAAGGATGTAATGCACCAGAACAAATCTGAAATATTTAAGTTCTGCTTGTAAGTTGGTCAGTGAACGTGTAATTCCGCAGACCAAATAAAAAGGTAACTTGAATGTGTCCTACTTGCAACACATGCAGATGGGTCTTACACAGATGTGTTGGCTATTTCCAGATTACTGGAAAATACTCTTTAATTATGGGATCAGTTGACTTGTGACACAAAGGACACTCTGCTACTAAAGCAGAGGCAGACATTCCTACCCTAACCAGGCACTGCAAGTATTTCCCACAGGATGAAGTGCCACGAACCTGTTACTTTGACCAGATACATTTTGTGCCAGAAAAATCACCTTTTGGAGGAGGGCTACTTTGTATCAGTTGCAAGAATACCAGTAACTGCCAGAGATAACTTTTAAAATCCAAGTAAATTTCTAGTCATGTGCAGGAAAGACTCCCTATTTTTATGGAAGTCTGAGCCCATGTTATGGCCATCAGATGTAATTAAGTGATATGTAGCAATAGATTCTGATCTACAGAACAGTGGGAATTAAATTGTATTAAGAATTAAGCTGCTTCAGGTACTCCACCATTAAAGGTTTTGATACACAAACTTCTAGAGAACATTACATTTTCCTACGTTTAACAACCTAGAGCTTTCCCACAATTTCATATTCCCACATTGAGTCAATACCTGTAAATTGTTATTCTGATCCTGGTTTATGGCATCTTGAGGAGGAACGTTGTTTGGAAATGGTTGAACCAGCCTGCGTCTAAATGGAAACCATCCAACCTGGTGCCTGAGGAAGTCAATAAATCATTGTTAGGATATACTTACTCCTCCTGCCTACCACACTTCAATCTTGCGAGTAACACTTGAAAATGCACCCAGGAGTAAACAGCATATTTGAGACAAACAGGTTTATCCCGTCTGATCTGTAGAGAAAGCCTTCAAAAGCTTATCTAATCACAATGCACATCTATCAGCATTAGGGTAGCAGGGTAGGTTTATCTATCCCAGGATATAAGAGGGGCAGCAGGAGATGCAGTTCTGGAACAGCTGGTGAACCATAGGTATAAGGGATCATGATTAGGACCTTAGAATGGCTGAGGCACAACCTGCAGTATGTATTGCAAGAGCCAAGATAAAGAACAGCAGTTGGGTAAAAGCAGCTCTAATTTGTATACCCACTCATCTGCCCCAAGGCAAGATAACTTAAAAGATTCCCAGTGCTGGCATTGCTCCCTCATCCAGTGTAGCTCAAGAAGTGGATGGGTGCTTGAAAAACTACTATTTCCAGCAGTGGCTGCTGCTTGTGCTCAAAAAATTTAGACCTCTAGTCCCCATGGCTTTCAAGATCAGAAGACAGCTCTAGTTGCATCAGATTTAGCGCTCTGAATTTTGTGTTTACAATTAGCCTCAGACAGCTGGAATGTGAGAGCTGCTCCTGATCAGGGGCGAGACTTGAGCCTACTGCTAGCAATTTAAGACACTACATTATTTTCACAGCTGATCAAAACATG